GCAACAACTTTTGAATTTTTAAGGTAAAATGTGTATAACATCATGTTATTTAAAGGCTTGTGCAAGTACAGTATTTTTTGTTAAAATTATGTAATGAAACTGAAAAACCTGATCACATGTAGATTATGCATGTCTGCTCCATTTAATACAATCAGTGTTTTTGCTGGTATTTGTTCAAACTCCAGCGGCCGGGACAGTTGGGATTTTATTGACCTTAGTGACACATTTGGCGAGACTTTACAAATACCAGGCCTGCTTGATATGGACAGGACTTGCACAATATGTGTTTGCTGCTGAGGAAATTGGCATAAGTAAATTTTTCTCAGCTTGGGTGCAGTGGGGTCCTGCCAAACTAACATTCACACAATGTGATCTGAGCTTTCTGTAACATGACTCTTAACCCCTTTTCCCTATCTGTTGCATTGTTGTTATTTTTAATACTCCCGAGGTTCTTATTTTAGCTAACAGTTCTACAATTTAAAAGCCTGTGACTGTCAGTCAGACTGGAATAATCATTGACCCCAATGAAACTACAGTGAACCCTCTTTATTGTTAACATAACCTCTGGACAAGAATGTGCCAATTTATGTGTGAGTGGCTAAAAATAGCCTGCAAGCCTTCTGTTTGTGTACACCGTGGACTGTTCTTACAAGATGCCATCGTTCAGCTTTGTTGTGCCCATATGTCCAACCAGTTTCTTTTGTCAGGCGACAAATGTGTGCATTCTAAGAAAAATAAGCTTGCTTCCATCACTAGTTGTGTCCCGACATACATGGAAATCATATGAATGAATGGATTTTAAGTACTGAAATTATATAAGCCTTGTTTTGTTGTGCAGTGACAGGGATAGTAGTGAATAAAGTAAAAATCTAAATTGGTAAAAGAACTGCAAAATTTATGTCTGTTCTAGCCTTACTAGCTCCTTAAAGCACTTCTACACTATTTGGTCACACACTGTTTTGCACAGATTGCAGATTGAGAGAAGTATTTTGCTCAAGGACACTTTAGACATTTTGGTGAAGCCAAAATAACCCTGCCAACATCCGATTGGTGGGTGACTCCTCCTTTTGAACCACAGCTGCTATGCAGAATGCATTTATATACTATAGTAAAGGGATTTTTAAATTTTTTTATCATCTATTAAAGTTAGTATAGATGGCTGTGAACAGGAATGAACTGTTTAGTGAGTAGCATTTACCTTTTTAATATGTTAAAGATTTTATTTTGTTTTTTTTGCATCCTAATGATAATTCAAAATTTAGCCTTACAGAACACTTTATAGAAATATATTACTTGTTATAATTTAGGATTCATTTATCTCATATGCCGTTATTCTTTACAGACGGTAACTTTAGTGCTAAAAACCTCTAAATGAGAGCAGACTGCAACTACTGACATTGGTTGAAATACAAGTTCTTTTTAGCATGACTTACTGAAGTCGAGAACAGTTTAGGGCAAGCACTTAGCCAGAGGGGCAGTGGGGTGTCTTTATGACACCCTGATAGGATTTGCGATGCCTTGGGTCTGCTTCACGATGCCCTGGTCCACTTTACGATACCTCGTGGACGTGCCTATATACAGGTGCTGGTCATAAAATTAGAAAAAGTAGATTTATTTCAGTAATTCCATTTAAAAAGTGAAACTTGTATATTATATTCATACATTACATACAAACTCATATATTTCAAATGTTTATTTCGTTTAATTTTGATGATTACAAATGAAAATCTCAAATTCAGCATATCAGAAAATTAGAATCTTGTGAAAAGGTTCAAAATGGATGGCACCTGTTACCAC